GCTACTAGTATATGTCCGTGTTAAAACACACGAAAGGACTCTAAAGCACACTTCACTCTGATTGGGCAGAAAAACACAAAGATTTTCTGGCACCAATCAGATGGCAGAACGACTGCGACCGTTTGGAACTAGTCTTGCAAGACAATGTCCCCAGGGGCTCTTCATGCCCTAACTTGAAATCGACCCACAACCCCTGGGTCTCCGAGGATGGCGTATACCTATGAGAATCCTTTGACAAACACTGACAAATATAGAAGTACAAGTGAAATAGCTAAGTACCGGACCTATCAAAGTTGATCCAGAACATTTGTCAAATGGGATACTCAAGAATCAGTTAGACAACCTTTAAGTTTATAAAGAGAATAATGATTTTTAACTAGGCAGACGAAGTTTCTGGTGGCTAAATGTTGTTTTATTCAGTGGAATTAACCATTTGCTTTGTCTCTTTTTTTCTGCTTGCTTGTAAATGTAAAAGGTCCAATTTGAAAGTATACATCGAAAGGAATTTCAGGCAAATACGTACTAGTAAGCTTGCAAACTAATAAATATTATTTGTGAAATATTTTTGTCGCAAACTCAGCCAGGACGACTTAGTACAAGCATTACGATTGAGACAAAAGAAATTGGATAAAAGTAAGCCGAAGCTATTAAATGTATTGGTGTTATCAACTGGCGGAGTCGATAATGTAAATTGGCCACCGTAAGAGTTTCAGCCCTTTGTTTTGCTCTGACGAAGGGCCTACGCTTGAAACGTTAGCTCAAGAAAATCTTTACGGCGGCCAATTTACGTTAATAATACCAAATTATCTTGTTGTACCCTCACCAACGTTGCACCACAGTTTCTTTAGAAGGTTATCCCCCGCATATTCAGTCAGTATGAGGCTTAACAATTAGATCGACGATCTCATCGGCTGACTGCACTGTTTTGAAGATGTGCATATGGCAAAGGAAACGACGTCTCCCTGCGTTAAATTAAAAAGGAATGACGCGAGAAAAGACGAAAACGGGGGTTTTCCCTCAATTTAAAGGCAAGGCAAATATCTGTCCGTGTGCTTTCCAATCATTTCCCAGCACTTTTTGTACCATTTTACACCGACGCAAGTCACAGAAAGGTGACTCTTGTTTTTCTATTCTGTCCGACATGACTGTAAATGATCAACGTCTTGAATTATTTCGAAACCAGAATAATCACCTTTATTACGTAACAAATTCTGAGAATTTAAGTTGTGTGACTTGTCGCTGATACAAATGTCTGGTGACATCACTTCTTCAAATAGAGATTTGATTCAATATGTTCCCGCGCTTGCGCTAAGGGTTTGAGGCATTCATAAACCATCTTTCTAGAAAACAAAAGAAAAATGTACAGAAATAATAATTTCCTTGTGAAGGTATTAGAGCGATGAACTGAAAAAGGCAAAAGGATTTTGGAGATGCTTAGTTTTCCGACGCACCAGACACTATTGAGTTGTAAGGGGAGACAAAATAATATTAATTACCAGTTTTTTTGGGCAGCCTACTGATGAAGGATATCGATTGCATTATCAAGTGAACCATTACTGGGCAGTTTTCTCTTTCTCTTCAACAAATCGAGAGAAAAAATTGTTTTCTTCGAACTGTTGCTTCATTTTCTGCCACTTTGTCTAAGATAAGACCCACAAAGAGTACTAAGAGCAGACTATAGCAATGCCTATCGGAGAAAGCTGGCAAACGAAACTTCCAACTCTCGTAGATAGAACCACTTCTATTTTTGACAAAACGTTACTGAGCGATGTGAAAATTTGTCGTTCCAGTGTCGTCTGCTGAAAGTGAGAGAAAGATGACGATCCCAGCTCATAATTTTGTTCTTGCAACCAGTAGTGCTGTGTTCTTTGCCATGTTCTATGATCGAATGGCCGAGATTAAAGACTCTATTGAACTGCCTAACTGTGAGAACGAGAGTCTTCTAATAGAAGAGAAAAGAGACGAATTCTTGGAGATGAGATCGTTACGGCAATGCAGTTTCTACTGATGTCAGCACAGATGTTTATGTAACAATTTGGATATATCAACAAAGTTGAAATGGTAAATTGGCCACCGTAACGATTACAAAAGCTGACGT